CGCCACACACACACACACACACACACACACACACACACACACACACACACACACACACACACACACACACACACACACACACACACACACACACACACACACACAGGGGGGTGTCGCAGCGGTAAAGAGAACATGGGAGACAGATCATCAGCATTGAAACAAAATACAGCCGTTATGACTTTCATCAATCGTATTATTTCCTGTTGCTTTCACACACCTCGAGCTCAGTTTAATCCGTGCTGCTCCGTGTGTCTCGTGGCGTCGTATCAAATACTTCTGGTGACCCTCTGCTGCTCTCACCATCTCACACAGGCTGAAAACACAGCATCCCACTGTTTCACATATTCTTCAGAATGATACATGTTTTTTCATTTAATGTACCTGCACTTCCTTAGCAACGGTCTTCCAGCACAAAAAAAGCAGACTTCTGAATGTCCAAATTGATCAATTACAATTCAGTATTCAACTAAGCCGTGTTATAAGGCTTTTTAAAGTGTGATGCTTCCTTTCTGGTACATCTTGCTCTTTATGCTGTGGTAGAAATAGGGTGTACAGTGTTTGTGTGTCCACGTTGTTCACGAAAAATATACAGTAAAGAAAATCTTTAAGAGGTTTCTATTGAAAACACAAACCTCTGAACCTTACCTTCTCCTTCTCCTTCTTTCTCTCTGCAGGATGTTCACTGTTTTCCGTCTGCATTCCTTCTCTCAGTCTTACGTTGAGCCGTCAGAGTGGAAGGGAGGCGTTCAGCATCGCAGCAACGTGCTCTGTGCCGCCTTCCAGCCTCCACAGACGCTGGTCACAGGTGTGTGTGTGTGTGTGTGTGTGTGTGTGTGTGCTAGCACTTGAAGAAGGATATTTTATTGAAAGAAACCCAAAAGCTAGCGTAGTTGTTGGCAATGAACATCTGATGTCCCATACCTCCTATGAGAATACGACATACAATATATTTTGTAGTATTTTGTGTCTCTACTGTGACATTAATGTTCAAAAGGGTCTTTATTTTTCTCATACTGCCCACACACGCACGCACACACACGACATAAACACGTCTCATTTCCCCTCACTCCCACTGAGAGAGCGCTAATAAACATAATTTAAATTGGGCATGTGGATTAAATTGGTAGTGGAGGCTGCAGCGCGGGGCAATGTGTGTGTGTGTGTGTGTGTGTGTGTGTGTGTGTGTGTGTGTGTGTGTGTGTGTGTGTGTGTGTGTGTGCTAGCACTTGAAGAAGGATATTTTATTGAAAGAAACCCAAAAGCT